CAGTTTCTTACAGAACTGAAATTTGAGAACAGTAAGACACTTTTCTCTTACAGCAGCTTAATAAGCTTATTGTAATAGAAATTCAAAGAAATGATAATGAATAGCTTAACGAGTGAATATGAGTACATAGTCCCTCAGGCTAAAACTTACCTTCAGAAATACTTTGCTATAATGTCTTTATAAGCACCTTAAATAATTTCTATATTATTTGTTTAACAAAGACAGATGTGATTAAAATGCAAAACTGCAAACTGCATACTAAGGGCAATTTTAAATTTCGGAAACTGAACTTTACTACAACAATATAAAGTAAATGGGTTTCCATAATGAACTCACAGTTTTTTTGCTTTTATATTTTTCGTAAACTCGTGATTATTATCTTTTTTATAATCCTCATAATGCGACCGCCCGATACAAATAACGCACAACTGTTTACAGAAATTAACTGAATAACAAGTAATTGCGTTACGATGAAATTTATTGGCTGAATATGACTTTACTTCTTTCAAATATGACTTTTATGTATGATGTTTCATGCCTTGTAACTAACACATGTGTATTAAATAAGCAATAAATATTAGGCTTGATATATATTTGTTAAAATATATTATTCTATATAATTGTAATGTTTTGTATATACGTAATTAATCGACAATAAAATTCCCATGTTTGCTAAGCTAACAATAAACTCTTAAGACAAAACACACTTTTATGTATTTTTAAAAATATGTGTTTTAACCAATGCGTGAGGCACAAAGCTAGATCATTGATTTATATTATGTAATGTTGTTTGAAATAGAACAATAAATATTAGCAGTATTCATATTCCGCATGACGTATCCTTTTGATGCTGTTTGAGTTATTTCTTTTCAATGTAGTTTTGCAAATTTTTTTAATGCAAATTGCAAGTTACAAATAGATATTTTGCGTTTCAATTTCATATCAAATTCAGTATACGTTGAGACAATGTCTTCGCATCAGAAAGGAAAAAACAAACAAATGAATATGCAAACTGAATTGAAAACATAACATATGACACATCTGGGGAAGTATCTGAAATGTTTATCGTCATTTTTTTACATTTTGTCACTGACATTCATATCCGACAATGTAGTAAAAGTTAAAAAAAAATCCAAAAGTCTGAAATCGGGTTTACAAGAAACAAGACTTTAGACAAATTTAAACTGGACCGTTTTCTCTTAGTAACCAATCCATAAACACAATTCTTATGTTTTGCTATAAAACTCAAAAGAAAAACATCGAATATATTAAGTTAAGTAATATAGCTAAAATGTTATATGCATGCACATGTTCAAATTGCTTAATATTGTTTCAGAATATTTTTTCTAGTATCATTATTTTAGCAAAAATAAAACAAACAAAAAAGTTTTGAATTGCCACTTTGCTTTGCAAAGCATGTCTTTTAGATTCTTACTAACTGAATTTTTATATATGGAGATGATTTAAAGTGACATTATAACCATCCAAGGGTATATAGTGAGTGAACGGGTGAAGATCAAAATATGTTTTCATTTTGCCATAATCCCTTTTAATTTAATAATTAAGTTCGCATAAACAATTAATGACACACAGATCTGAATGAAATTTCTATAAATGTCCGTTAGAATTTACGTATAACACTTAGTTAATAAAAATAGTGGGGTAGTCTTTTTAATGTTTTGGCAGATGTTGGTTAACTGTCATTTTGACAGTCAATCTTTTGAAATATAAAGTCAATTCAGCTCCACTTTACTATGAAAATATGAGCATAATGTCACTTTAAATGAAAAGCTCATATTTTACTCATCGTCAAAAGAATGTGGACAGTCACTTATGCTGAATAAGATGACGTAAGATTGCATGCTCTTCCTTTTAAATTGATATTATCCTTGTTGATTGAAAGGTTTAAATGCATTTCGATATTGATTAATTCAACCTACATGTCATGCGAGACAATTTTTGTTTTAAGATAAAGATAATTTTAGATAAATTACTTAAACCAAATAATTCCGTTTGAGTGTATATTCTTTATTTCACTCAAACTTGACAAACACAATAGAAGAAAAACATATTAAAGGTGATATTCCAAATATGTCAGTCAAAAGGACATTCAAATTTCCACCTAAAATGCGCTTGTTCTTACGGAATTGTGCATAAAGAACGCACATGCGTATTTATTTTGTAATAACCTTGAACCAACTGACATATACAGATATCAAACTTTATGTCCTAATATAGTTAACCATACGGTTCTACTGTGAAACCTGACGCCATGACGTCCTTAAGATCCTTTCGAAATGCTTTGTTCACAACGGCGTAAATCATTTGATTAGCAAAAAGTAAATATATAGAAAATGAACATAATTCTGTGATTATGTACTTAATATATTTAACCTATTTCATTGCAAGATGCTGCGAATGAATTATATATTTTTATTAAAGTAAATCTAAAGTGATTTATTTATAATTGTTTCAATTATACCAATCCTTTAAGGAAATAACAGCACCTGCAATACTCATGGTCTTTAAAAAGCTATTTACAATAGTGTAATGTTGAACAAGGTTTTAAATGTCGAGCGTATTGACATTTGTTGGTTTAATTAAAATAATAAATTGAAACAAGTATAAATATATGTAAATGTTACATTCATATCCGACAAAAATGTCAATTAAAACTCAACACTTGAATTCAAAAGTCTAGAAGAGAGTCTTCTTTCTGAAATAAACATAATATTCAAAGTAGAACATGTAAAAAGATATTTTCTTGCATATCAGACTGGCGTTTCTGTGAGATTTTCCCATGCCGGAAATTTCATCTAGCATGGGGGTGCCAGATGAGTCGCGTGCCAAACACCATTATGTCATTTTAGCGCACTTTATGAATGAACCGCGGAAAAATGAAGTCGTTTTAGAAGGGAAATGTGTGCTTAGGATGACGTCATTTCGCCGTTGTTATTTAAGTTGTAGGTTCATACGCTATTGTAAGAAAATAGTTATAGATGAAATGACTTTAATTTCCATGAACATAATTATATCATATTAAGGTAAACTATTTAAAATAAGACATAATATGGCAGAATTTTAATGCAAGAAAAAATATCTGACATCTGTTTGCGATTCGGATCGAATTATCCATCCCTCGGAGAACCCGTCATGGGCGGTAACTCGGCAAGCCTTGTTACCGCCCAATGGGCGGGTTCCATCGGGACGAATATTCCGGTCCGAACCTCAACATATGACAGATATTTTTAATCTTTATCAATCTATTGATACGCTCACTTTTTATTTAATTCTATAACAGACAAAAACATCGAACATGGTTAGTTAAATAATAAGACTAAAATGTTAGGTACACGTTATAACTGCTAAATCTGTTTCAAAAGAATTCTAACTCAATATCAATAATCTACAACAAAGGACAATCTTAATTTGAATTGATATTTTAAATCCCGTATTATAAAGGTTTTCCTTACCAATTAAATATATGACTTTTTATGTAAAAATCAATATTTTACTCCTTGTCAAGAGAAGGTGATTTGTAATTTAATAAGAATGAGTTGATATAAAAGCGATTTGTTCTTCATTTAAAAATGATATTTAATTATTTTTTAACAAAGTGGTTGTATTATGACTATTATTATTAATTATTATTATTATTATTATATTATTATTATTATTATTATTATTATTATTATTATTATAGGAAGGTTACCATACGCTGTACATATTGATTTTTATTTAACCTTTTAAATTTACTTTGATTATTGAAATAAAAAATATTCAACAGGCCTCATTTTAAGTACATGATCGTTTCACATTTACACATGTAAGGTTTGTTTAGTATTGAAGTTGCCGGGGTTGTGTCATTCACTTGTATACTTAAATGTCTTGATTGAAATCAATAATTTGGTATTCATAAATGAACGTGTATCCGTTTTATAGTATAGATAAAAAAGGAAGTAAAAGCATAATTGTAATTGTTAAAGTAAAGTATGTATAAGGACAATAATTATTAACATAGAGGTATATATGTGTGCATAAGTTATATGTTTCGAAGATAAATAATAACATACGATCGGCGAATTGCAAGTGTGTAATTAATTTTTCTGAGCATAAATAATTAAGTATACATTTTCTTTAAATGTCATATCTATGGTGGCATAAAAAGTATGGTATTTACTACATATGTACACGAAATATATTTCATGCGCATATGTTAGTATATGTGCACACAATAGTATTACGTGACCATGTGATAACTTTTAAACACGTCACATGTTGTAAGTGCGCATGCTTATGTAAACGTTTTGCGTGGCGACTCACTTCTTACGTTATATATGATTGAGCTCGTAATACTAATTGCAGGGAGACTTTTTAGCTATCGCGTGTGTAATAGTAACATAATACTTATTTCATTGGTGTAGTAGTAACGTTGAAATCGTTCAACAATCAAATATAGAAACAGTCATTGTTACATGACCAGTATGTTTTGTGAATATCCATGAGCTAATGGCAATAATCAGATATGTGTTCTAAATATACAGAGGCTTTCCACAACATCAATTGAAAACCCTTTAGAATTTAAGAATAAAGTCAGATTTTTTAAATAAAAGTAGGATAATTTTTAAAACGTATTATCATTTTCAAACAATGTACATACACATTTAATTAATGTGCTACATGTAAGAAATGTTCTGTTTATTCAGAAAAAAAACAGAGCTTATGTTCAAACAATACTTGTATATATATTATATTTCAATAAAAATTTCAAAGACAATACAAATCACCAATAGCAGTAAAATATCAAAGGTAACCTTTCCAATATATATCAGACAAAAGGCAATTTCAAATAACACTGATAAGTACGCTTGCTCTAACGGAAATGTGCATAAAATAACACAAATGCGTGTTCGCAATATCAAAATGTTTATACCCGGGAACCAACTGACACATGTACAAATATCAAACGCAGTATCCTAGTCAAGTTAATCACATTGATTTCATTGCGAAACCCGGCACTCTATGACGTCTTTAAGATCTCTGCGAAATGCTTTGTTCATAAAGGCATAAATTATTGGATTAGCGACATTGTAGAAAAAGTACATATAGAAGATGAGCATATTGTATGGCAGCACTTCATGTGCCATTAGCCACGCCGGTAGAAACACTATTATAAATACAGCTGTTACGACAAAAAGCATGGCAGCGGTCCGAATGTTGGCTACAAGACCCTTTTCTCTGATAGTCATTCTTCTCAGAAATGCAGTCTTTTCTGTTTTCGGGCGTGGTTCGTCGACAACACTGGTCATGTCAACCTCTGTTTTAATACTTCCATTATTTATGGACGCTCTCGTATTCACATATGTTGTAGGTGGATCTTTATACGAGGAATACATTGACCTTTGACTGCGCATGCGTCGTCTTTTGGCTCTCCTTACAGAGACGAATTTATAAATAAGAATATATAGAACAACCACAACAACTATCACTATCACAAAGAAGCTTGAATAAATCTTTTGGTAGACATCAGTGAACTGGAAACTAAATATTAGACCGTTTACTTGGCAAATTCCTTTATATTCTAGTATTTGTGTCTTCAAGTGTAACACATTTTTCATGGTATCTGTTTTATATGATAGATTTAATCCATACGATGGTTCATCATCTTTTGATAATACAGTAATGCCACTTTGATTTGCTATGTATATATAACTGTCATTTATTCCATCAGTTGCCGTAGAGTTTGATTCCTTTACAAAGTAAACACCGTAGTTTAAGGCCGTTATAATTCCGAGCGAAAATGCTATTCCTGCTAAAACAGAAATTATAACTTTAGCCATCTTTTTGTTAAGTATATGTGTGAATGGATGGCAAATACACAGATATCTTTTTCAATTTCCCTATAGCCATCATAAAAAAATGCGGGAGAATGGCACTTTGATGTTGTTTAAAAAAACTTTGTAGAACTTACAAAATATATCATACTTCACATATTTTACCATATTTTCCCAAAAAAAAATTTGGGTATAGGGAAAATTATTAATATCCCAGGTTAAAAAAATTTCAGTTCCAAAAAAGCTTATTATAAATTTACCGTTGTTTGCAAATTTTATTTCGCTTCTTTACAAAAACCCCATATAGGACAAAGCTTTTTTCCAAACCCTTTCCCTTTATGACACAAAAAAAGTTTAAAATCCCCAATCCCCGCCTTTAAGAATTTTCATACCCTGTGTCGTGGAGGAAAAGGGTGTCTTTGGGGGTATTTGTAAATTTTAATGAATTTTCCCCTGTACCATTTTTTTTTTCTGTTTTTAACTTTTATTCAAAAACTTGCTTCGGAATATAAATTTATTTTTAAATGTATATAAGATCAAGAAAATGTTGAATTGTCCAAACCATCGTCGTTTATAAACCGAAGAAAAGGTACAAAGAATAACATTATTCTAATGATAATGTATCTGCGCTAACAATATGTCTTACTTTGAATACTCGTAGTAACAATTCAGTATGACGATGTGTCTCAATACATAAGAGCATATTGAACTGCTGAAAAATATATTCTGAAATAACTCATACTAAAAGCAATATCCATCTTTCATATTAAAGTATCTTTGTGATAAGCACAATAGCTATTTTTCATTTTCATTATCTTCACAGAAGATAAATTTTGAAATTATCTGTCCGGCTTATTCTGATTCAACATTAAGTGTGCTGATTGTCTTGGTGTAATGGTGCCAGTATGAATACACTATGTACTAGTCCTTCAAATGTACTGGTCCTGAAATTAACAAGATATCTAAATTAAAGTCTTTAAATGTTCTATAGAAAATGTGCAATAAGCAACTTATTCGGATGTTCTTTTATAATGATTTTATGACTTTGAATGTGTTTCTGTTTCTTTTGGGTGAAAATGGAATTCATATTAGAAATAGTATATTTAAAAAACAAAATCGAAAATGCAACTTTGAAGGTAGATATACGACAAAAAATTAGATTGTCACATAAAAAGTAAGTACAACAAGGGAGAAAAACATTCACTGAACCATCCCACAACCTGGCATTGTCTAACAACACCAGACAATCGGTGGGGTACTTAGAAGGGTAAAACTGAGAGTAAGAACGAGACCTTACTCTAGTTGAACCTTTTTTCAATAATTATGTAAACAAATGAAATTTTCGTTACATGTTGAATTAGTATTTGACACAAATGTTTATTCCTGTGTAAAAGAATGAACGCGAACGCATGCAGGCGTAAGTATATTTCAACAGAGAAGAAACATTCATGTATATTGTACGAATAAAACACGCACTGTCGATGAACATATTTTGAATAACCCGGCGTGCCATGTACACTCGCTTGTTTCAAAGGTAGTATTATTAAAACATAAATGTAAAAAAAGTTTCGAACAAGTACATTACCTATTAATTCTCTTAAGTTTTTTTATATTCGGTTGTTTTTGCCCTTTATGGATTTTTTTTTCCAAAAAAGTATAAAAATATACTAAATTTGCCCTTGTTTAGTTTTAAACAAACAACATTTAAAAATAATGTTTTGTTCTTAACGAACATACTCTTTTCTTAACAGACATAGATCATACGTTTTTTTTTCAATAATGGTAAACTTGTTTGAATTTATTTAAATCTTTAGAAAAATTTAATTTTCATTTAAGTTAAACTTGCAATCAATTTAGAGAGAATATATAATTATATCGGCTTCCCTAAAAACTTGAAATTCTTTTTTCCCAGGGTTTGTTATTTTTAATCATTTTATTTATTTATTCATTTATGTAATTTTTTATTGTAAATTATTAAAGAAAGGGTTGAATTTTACTTTTACAAAAACCCAAAAAAAAAAGAAAGGGAAAATCCCTTAATTTACGGGTTGGGGGGGCTTTTCGAAAAGGGTAAATTAAAGTCGTTTACTCAAAGCTTTCCTTTTTTATTTTAACCCGGGGTTTTTTAGGGTAAAATTTTCCCAAAAACACAATTTTCTGTAAAAGGGGGTTCACCCTTGAACGGGAAGCGGGTAACTTTATTTGTTAAGGGGGGCTGGGGTGCAATGAGAAAAAAGGGTTTAAAATTTCGTTTTTTGGGAAAATACCCAAAGATAACTCGACAGAACACTGGTTTTAAATTTTGACCCATGAAAAATGTGAAATTTTGTTTTTCTAACATATCACTTTATTTTTTTATTACATAAAAAAACATGAATGGGAAAAAAAGGATTTACATGAATAAGGGAAAAATACCATTTTTAAATTTTTAAGGCTTTTATACCCAAAATTTCCCAAATCCTCATAAGAATTAAAAAAGGGGGTTTTTTTTCTATCCCAAAACCATACGGGTAGATTTTCAGTTAAAAGAGGAAAGCAGTAAAGGGGGAACATAAAGAAAACTTATCGTTATAATGATTGAAATTTGTTACGATCCCCAATATAGAAGGGAAAATTTGTTGTTTTTTTAAGGAAATTTCTTAAAAAATGCCTTTAATTTGTTAAAAAAAAAAAATCTGCTTTTAAAAAAGGGCAGGCTATTTATCATTATAACTTCCGAGATTTATATTAAATCATTCAGCAGGAACATGACACTCAGGCTTAACGCCGTTTTTGTCCATCTGTTTCCCTTGGGACATCTCTGTTTTTAAAAAGACGTCTGCTGGTGGTGCATCAAGGCTAAAGTACTCTATTATTGCTCGGTGAAAACTTAGAATTTATGATTTTGAATATCTGCAACTATCGTATTGTAGATATTCATTTATGTGCACTTTCATGTGCTTCTTTTAATTAAAACAAAATATGCTAAAGGTGTAAGATAAATATATAGATTGGATTATCTTCCTTTAATATTTTTTTCCGTTGTCAGAAATAGCATACATTTAATAAAAGTAAATGTTTATTATGCTATTATTGCCATGTATAAGAACAAGACACGTAGAACTAACTGTATCAAAAATGTATGAATATTGTGATATATATTTTCTTTAAAGTAGCCAACGTATTCAACATAGACGCGGATACACTGAAGCTTTTCTATAGTAAATGTTTTTTTCTTGACAAGAGTTATAAACATATAAATGTGTTCAGTTAATTTTTAAATATGAGCAATTACTAATGACCTCACAACACGTGATTTAACACCGTTCTTTATCTAAACTACTAGTAATACATTTTATTGAAAACCAAGCATTATTTATGTGGCTATTGTGCTGTATTTAAGGCAAACAATATCATATTGTCTCGATAGTTTAAAGTACAAAGTCGTTCAATACTAAATTAAATATATATTAATATTAAAATGAAAGAATATACCAAGCTTATCTAAAATAATTCTTAAACTATCAATCATTCCGTAACAGGTGGCGTCTTGTCTGATATTAAAAGCTTTATAAATCCTTATCAGTTATCTTATGGAATATTATTTATATTAACTTTATCATTGGCATATAAAAACAGAAAAGAACATATCTTTATTAACTCAAATTATTTAAGCACCACATGAGTATACACAAAAGAAACGGTTTTATGACATGTCAATGAAATTAGTGTTCAAAATAATCACAAAACAATACGTTCAATAATGAATTTACGAGAAAACACCAAATACATTATGTGCAAAATCCTAAATTATCTGGTGGTTTAATTAATTAGTATATTTGTTTGAATTAGGAATAATGATTATATCAATATCGATAAATGTTGACGGTTGATTCATTTTCAATTCTTATTTAAAAACATTTTTCTTCTTTTAAATTATCTAATAAAAACAAAAATTGGCCCTGTTTTTTTTTAAAAAATTTTTATAAATTAATATTAAAGATTTTTAATTTAAAATTAACCCAGACAAACTATTTTAATATAAAATAAAAAAAGAAAAAAAAATATACGCACTGATTTCCCTTTTTAAATTTTCCCTTTAAAAAGAAAAAGGGAAATTTATTTATATTCCAAAAACGCCCTTTTTTGATTTATTTTTTGGTTTTCGATTGCAAGGGAAATAGCAAACCAAAAAAAACCCTCTTATATTCCCCTTGTCTTTTAAAAACTATTTAGTTTTGCGCACTTTCCCAAAAACACCCCTGCCAATACTTTGTATCGGTTTTACTGAAAGTATTGGTAATATATGGCATGCTCTCCATTATAAGTGAGTTATAACAGTGCATTTGTGAAGTCATCAATATTAAGCCACTTTTGTGTTACAAGTCTTAAAACATAATAATAAATTTAAGGTTTAAAACAATCACTAAAAGTAAGTGTCTATGAAGTAAAATTAAATATCTAACTTTATAAATTGAAACGTCAAACATATGATGTACTGTTTAATTTATTCATTTTCTTACGTTGAATACTTGCCCATAAATATAATGATATAACTTCTACGATAGTTACATAGTTTTAAATTGAAAATTTTGATAAAATAGTGACGACACTTACAAACAGTTATAAATCACTGACACATTTTAGATCTTTAACGCTCATGTGAAAATTGTGTTCAAATATCCGACGAAATGCAAATTCACACTATTTACTATTCATCCCCACGCTACTTACTCGTTACTAATAAAATAATTATCAAAATTCAATAACAATAATAATAATAACGTTTTTAGCGAAAAGATGTTTTGTCACCGGACTCAATTAATAATGTATATAATATGATATTGTTTTTTGTCCAATATTTTACGTTCCGTTTACATAACATGTCAATTATTTCTTGCAATAATCCTGTTTTCACTGCGTCATTCTATATTGATTTCAACTATTAGTTATTTTTTATCATAAATTATTTGGACTTTATGTTTGTTTTTATATATTTTTATATTACTTTAATGTCCCTAGAACAC